ATTATTTGTTAATTTTTCAACATTACAAAAATACATGAATATTTACGATCGATACACGTACGATTTTTGACTCGTAGTGCCAATGCAATTTTAGAAACTTGCATGTAATTATCTGTAAAACTATTAAAGCAATGAATTAATTGGTATTTTAAAATTCAGTTGTAATTATCGTGAAGTGTGAAAAATAAATGGCTTGTCGCTTTTCATTCATGTGTCTAGCGAGGTCTGGAAGATAATTAGTTGCAAAAGCCAAACAGCGGATTCTAATTAGAGCACATTAACAGTTTAGCATTAGAAACTGAAACACGCCTTTACGGTACATAATTAAGAGTTTTAATTAAGTTTATTTGATTAATAAATTTTAATTATGTATTTATCTTACTGACGACGACGATGTTAATGTGGTGCTAATATTTTAACTGTGACGCTGATTTTTTAACTGTGGCGCTAGAGAATTTAACTGTGGTGGGGCCGCCGCGTTAAACGGCCCATGGAGAACTCTGCGGCATATAATAAAAAAAAAATCGGGGTTCTAAAAATATACAAATATACAAGTCACGTACATGTAGATTATAAAAGTACCAATGGGAATAATTTTGTAATACTCTCGTGAAATTCTTGACTCCGTGACTTGTAATTATATGTTTATGACGGTGACCCTATATATTAAGTTTATCATTACATTGCATATAAATTTCCTTCATAAAATCACATGTTTAAAATAAATAAATCTTTATCACTGATTGTGACCTGACTATCTATCATAATGTTTCCCTATAAAGATGTTACAATGTGAAACCATAATATGTTTTTAAGATAATTGGGCCAGATGACAATTACGAGGGGTGATGAAAAAGTTCGTGAACTTCCTCTGTATTTACAAAACCACAATTCATATCAGAATGAAATTTGGCATACATATAGTCATACACATGTTCTATAAATAGCAGATGTTATGAAATGTTTTGCTCCATGTTTGTGACGTCACAATGTCAAAATGACGTCAATATGTAGATGACTTGAACATTACAAAAAATGATTGATTCAGTCGTACTCGAGCAACGAACGGCTGTAAAGTTTAACATGTATCTTGGAAATTCCTTTGCAGTAGCAAATAATAATTTGTAGAAGGTTCGTGAAGACAAAACACTTGCTAGAAGTTCAATCATTAATTGGATTGATTGTTTTAGTGAAGAAAGGGAGATGGTTAAAAATGATGTTTGTTCTTTTGCCCAATGAAAGCAAGCTGGGGAAGAGATGTGTCCTTAGTTGAGCAATTTGTTATAATACATTGCCAAGTTACAGTTAGAAAAGTAGTGGATATCTTAGCAATAAAATAATTATGAAATTCTTAAAATTTCGTTGAATTTAGACATAAAACATATCAGATATGATAAAAAGAAGGCGCCCATACTTTATCCATAATGGATAAACGACGCTTCCAAGACAGAGGACTCGGGTTGTAATGGTCACCATGCTCATTCTGGGAAAGGATATCCTTATCCACCCATCCTATTGCCGAGATTTCGCAGCTATGTTAAAGCTTCCCGAAGCTTTAAAATGCGCTCTAAACATAATATGTCGTTGCGAGGTCGGTTCTGGTTTTAATTTATAAGTATTGAATTTTAGTACTTCCAATTTATATAGAGGGTTTCCTCGGCTATAAATCAACATATTTGTTATGTTATCACATGACTTTGTTGATCACGTGACGGTCATTTATAATTTTTTGACGTGTTTCACATAAATCGCTCCGGTGCAGCTGATTAACACAATAATTATTAACATATTGTTATATAAATAAACTCATCGTATCCTTGCGTACCCGAAATGTGCTTGGGAAAAGTCATAGTATTTATTGGGTACAAAATATTTCATGAGAAACTCAACTTACCTACAAATTTGAGGGTATTTTCCACACAATATCGTAATCTGTATTAAAATAAAGCCAACACACATTTTTCCCAAGCAAGATTCAGTTAGAGAACAACCTCTTCTTACAGATTTAAACAAAAATTCTCAGATTAATCCTCATTAATAACCTACGCCAGACTCTTTTATACACACAAAATAAATTCTACCTCCAACCACGGGTATAAAACAGAGTACATTTCAAAAGTATATTTTTCATAAGCATTTTGAACATGCTGAATTTCAATCAAGGGTAGGTAAGCGGTGTATTTTTAAAGTATTCGGACATATAAGACTGAAAAAAAACCTTTAATGACCCGTGAATTTTGCAAGAGCTATGTAGCATTTTTACATGCAGTTTGAAATGAAGTGTAAAGTTCATGACACTCTCCCCGTCATAACACCTCATGTTTCAGTGACTTGACGTCATTTTCCATTATGACGTCATATTTTGGTAGTTGAGAGAAATGAAGGCACAGAGTGCACCACTGTCGTGTATCCGCGCCGGTAGTGACTTGTTTGGATGAAGTGAAAATGGCGGAGTCACTCAACCGCTTCGAATCGTCGAATGATTTTTGTGTTATATAATGGACATTTGGTGTGTAATTTTACAATTAAAAGACAGTCTATATCTATAAGAAATTATTTATCCTGTAACTCCGTCATAAATCCTAGAATTTAATGTAAAGAAACTGTTCCAGTTGGTGACATGCTAGAACAACGTAACATGTTTGGATGACAATGCTTACAAACCTATGTACGGTTTGGATTAACTTGTGATACGGTTTGGATGAGATTGACCACCTAATGTTCGTTGTTTTTCCTTTTTAAAAAGTTCTTAAAATCATGGTATACATGGTCAATATTACAATGTGGGTCGAATACCATAAGACTGCTTTTCCCGAGCGATGAATTGGACGCCATTTGTTCCCGATAAATTGTGCGAGAGAGAAACATATTTCAGATACTAAAAAACGAATAATTATGTCCCTAAGTTGTGTATCCAATAAACTTTTAGAACATGCATACACGTAGTTTCGTTTTTTAAAATGGATGGGGGAGAGAAAATTATATGACAATTTACTTGAAAAAATCTTTAACAAGCAAAAAAAAAAAGGGGGGGTTAATTGTCACAAATCCTATTTCGAAGAAAGGGGTGGGGGCGTTTTTTAACAAACAAATTTCATTAATACACTGTGAAAAAGATGATTTGGGTATACTGCAACCCAAAAGGGGGGGGGGGGGCTTTCAATGATTTTCAACAGTAAAAGGTTATAATTGGGAAAAAATGAGTGGAGGGCAGTGCCTCCGATACTACATGTCTGTAGGTAATATCTTTTCTTCAACTTCACTTTATCCTCTTTCTCACGTTGCAATCACTGTGGCAAGCTGAAAAGTGAAAAGGTATGTTGTCATAGGCGGATCTAGAGGGGGAAGGGGGATGCGGAAACACACACCCCCTCTGGATTTTCAGAGTTATTAAATTTTTGTAGAAAAGTAACCAAAAATACCTTATAATAATATAATACTACCAAATATAAATTATTCAACGGGAAGCCTAACCTATCTGCGATGGCCATTCATGACAAATAGACTGTTCTTGTTATAAAAAATAACTTGCATATGATAAGAAATATAAGACTCGGAAAATTTTGTTAGCTTCTGTGAACAGAACGCTACGGAGCATGTCACGTGACCGCCTATACCACGTGATTCGCGCATGGGCAGAACGGTGGCAGGTGTGCATTTAAATCGGAGAGGAGAACGTTAAAAATAATGAACACTGAAACCTAATTTCAGTTCTTTTATGGAAGTAATTCAATTAGTTCGCGAACTTTTTGATCACCCCTCGTAACTTCTAATGCATCTATTGTACATAATGAAGCTGTGTTTTTAAGAAATGAATTTCATTTTTGAAGATTCATGAGGACATGAACTACGACGCTTCACGCCGGCATATTTCATGAAGCGCGTTAGCGCTTCATGATAAATATGCCGGCGTGAATTAAATTCATTTCCTATATTTACATTATTTTTCTGATGATTTGCCTCCTATAACGCCATTCAACTGTCATTTTTAAAGCAAAACAGTTTGCACTATAGTTTTGACGTCAAGTAAGGTATCATGACGTAACAATGGAGATATTCATGCCCATTCATGGTAGTTCATGAGAAAATGAACTGTATTCTATTTTGTAAAGAATCATAGAGGAAATTTATTGGAAATGTAAATATTGTTGAATGAACCCAATATGAACATTTTAATCAAATAATGATTAATAATGAAATACAGTCACTAAATTAACTGGTATTCGCAAATTCTATGGTCGTCAATAATGACCTTGTTTGTAAATATAACCTATCGTTGGGTCTTATTTTTTCTGACACGTTTCATACCATTCCACTTCTTGTGTTTCCAAGGGTCCGTGTTTTGCCCTGTTCATGATTCGTTTTATTTACTGGAATAATTATGAGACTGGTCACCATTCGTTATCCTCACCTTTTACACTGCTTCTATAACTGTCGCTTTTAACATAAACCTTTATCATGTTCTAAATTTTGAATGAACTGGGTGGAAGAAAATACAAAATTTAGAACACAGCAATGCACAACATTCTTTTTATACTAAAGATTATAATATTTTCGAATCTTTTATCAAAATCATGTCATAATATGTACACATTTTATGAAACTTAATAATTAATTGTAATATATAAATGAAAACAGCTTAGTAAATTTTCAATATACGTATTTCTATCATTTTGTTAAGATGTATATACAGCCCTCAACATTTTTTTTTAGATTTATATTTTTCATTATACATGTTATACAAGACATTGATTTATATATCTAATCTAACATACATGTAATTCTTAACTTAATCTTTTTTTTCGTAATCATTGTTTCATATTATTTCTAAAGTAAGTTGTTAACAATTACTCATGTTAAAACCTGCTGATAAATAAAAACGTTAGCTTAAGGCGGGATTAGGATATTTCATGTTGCATGTTAAAGTGGGAGTAAATCAATGAAAGATTGGAATAGTCGAGAAAGGCTCCGATGATATCTTAAATACGGTCAGGGATATGTAAACAAAGAAGAAATGATAACACAGAGCATTAAATAGTCTACCTGAGGAACGTACAAACACAGTGAAGTAAACATGGTCATTTGCAAAAAGTGGACATTGGCTCAAAAGTTCCATGGAAAACCTACCCCTGCCAATTTTAAACTTGTGGAGGAGGAGATTTCAGAAAATATAAATGATGGAGGTATTATAAAATATATGTATCTTAATCTGTTTAAACCTGAGTTACATTTTTTTTTTACAGTTATTTCACTTGTTATCTATAGGACAATTTGTTCTAAATCTTTACCTATATGAAGATTTTCTCGACAATGTAAAATGCAGAGTGTTTCTTTGCCCCCTAAGGGCCTTTCATATACTGAGTAATTGCTTCTATTATGTTACATACATGTACCTAATTGAAGATAATTAGAATATATAAAAATATTACCCATGTCACAAGTACTTCGCCACAAGCATCAGTTATTTGATTTGAGTAGAAAAAAATTGCAGTCATCGTCCAATAACACATAAGATAGTTTAGTTGTCACCAATCTGATAGAAATAGAAAAAGCTGATTCCTGATAATTTACTCCCTGAAATTGCCTTATTTAACTTTAATTTTTCTTTATTTCATTTCTGAGGAAGAATTATGTTCAACATTTTTATTGTTTCGGTTAATCAACAATCATATGATATTTTTTCACAGATGTGCATGTTTAACAGAGGCAACTTACATGTAAATATTCGTTCTCTATTGTGTTACTGATGTTTGTTTGTCCTTGGAGTAAATATCTACCTCCTGATGCTGTATTTATTGTAGAGGTACTCTGCGAGGCAGTGTATTTGACAGTGGATCCATACATGAGGTAATACCTAAAACAAAAGCACAGTTGATTATACATACTGATCATCAAATAATGGCCGATTTAAAACAAAACCAATATATGTTATTTGGCATTTCTATTTTATATTATTATCTAGAACAGCAGAAGCCGTGAATAGCCTTGGGGACACGATGTATGGTGAACAAATTGCAAAGTATGTGCCTTTAAATATATATGTTTTCATTAAAAGCAGACACAACTTATTATATTTTTGTATATCTTTTCAATTACTTATACATGTAACTTGTCAATCTTTAATTTTTTTTTCTTTAAATGTTGTTTGTTTTATATGCAATGCATTAGTTAATTAAGGGGAATGATGAATACATATACATTGTAAAACGATTGAATATTATTACTATAAAACTTTTCATAGAGTTACAGTCAGCAAAAATCCAAAGTACCCTGTTGGAACAATTGTTCGTTTGATGTCTGGGTGGCGCTCACACACTCTGGTAAAGGACACTGAGAAAGAGATCCGACGTTCTGCCGAGATGAGTGATCTCCCTTTATCTCTTATGTTGGGTGCCATGGGAATGCCGGGGTAAGATATTTAAAATATTGTTATTTTTGTTTTTCATAAAACTTCAATTACATGTAAATGATTAAAATGTTCAATGAATAATCTTCAGACAATAAGGAAAAAAGAGGCTTAAGGGTCAGCATCCTCACTTGATTCATTCCCTTAATTTTTCCACATGCTTCTTATTACCATGACTTCATCAAGTTCAAACTATACGCAGCATAGAGATTCAAGTGGAAGATAATTGTTATGATGACCAATATTTTAAAGAGTCCCCCTCCCCCAAAAAACCTTTTTAAAAACTTGACCTTCTGTTGTAGCTCTCCTAACTCAGGTCGGATCTTGGGGGGGGGGGGGGGGGGGGTGAATCTGTTAAACATTAGAATGCTTGCATATATACTAAAATATGTTTTTAACTAATTGAATTGCCGTTTTCTTGGGAGGCCTAGGATTTTCAAGGTTTTCCTCAATGTATATAACCCTATGTAAAATTTGGCCATCTATTTTTGCCCTGAACTTTAATGCATATCCCCTTTTGGTAACATTTGATCCACCCCACCCACCCACCCACCCCCAAGTCGAAGATGCTTTATGCAAAAAAAAAAAAATTGAAACGTTCTATGGTTCTTGAGAAGAAGACTAAAATATGAATTTAAAGTTTTATTACATTTTCAACAGTCAAATACTGTAATTAATCCGTTGAATAAAACTCATGTTTTCATATTTTCAAGCTGTAAAAGTATGGAAAAAATGTTACTCTCACAATGTAAAATAAGATCTGAAACGACTTTCTTCTATTTCTGTCGCTGTTGAGTTTTTTTAACAAAATAAAATTTAATTATCTTATTAGTTTCAATCAAAAATTGTCTAATTCTTTAAAATTATAGAGCCCTTTATCTTTTGCATGATTTTTATGGACCTATATCCCCAGTACAATTATGATTTTAAGTTGTATAAAGAGACAGCAAATAAAGGCAAAAGGAGAAAAACAAAGAAAAGTAAACAGAAAGAAACTTCTTTGTTTTGCAGTTGGATTATGAGAATTATTTCATTTGTAAGACAGGATTTTTAATATTTTTGCTCACGCCTTACATTCGTGAAAATATAAAAAAAATTCCTTGTCGTGAATTCAATTTCATATCTTACTATAATGTTCTTAAAACAGACAGATAGAGGAGTGTTCAGGAAAATTCTTATGTCTGATTTAATTTATTGGCGAAATATGGCTGAGATATTGCCGACTCGGTGTAAAACAACAATAATCAATCAGTGAATTTATTGGCGTATTTAAAATAGGGCAAATATGTGCGGACGAATGGCAAACGTCGCGTGTTCGAATCCACTTGTAAAAATGGAACATTCGGATGTAACCGTATAAACCGAGGTACGTGTCGCAATAGGTGCTGGCACAAAAAAGATCACTGACTTGCTCAAAGGCTGTAAGTGCGGAGTACAGGTCTAAATTTGCAGCCTTGCATTGGCAAGTGATGTCGTCTCAATATAAATGAACATTCTCGAAGGGAATTTAAACAAACAATCAAACAAAAGAATGGCAAGAGTTGATCTGCTTACCTTTTATTGACCTTTTATAGGATGACAGCTTATTTTGGCTTCTTGGAGATATGTCAACCAAAAGAAGGAGAAACCGTCTTGGTCAGCGGCGCTGCAGGGGCAGTCGGCAGCCTAGTGGGACAAATCGCTAAAATTAAGGTTATACACGATTAGTAGAATCAACAAAAGTTGACTTCAGTGTCACATATATAATCTTTAAACATGAACCAGATAATGATAGTTATATGTGTAAACATGCATTTAATATTTATGAACAATTTGTCAGTAATGGATTTAAAAGTAAAATTCAGGGTTATATATTCTTGATGAGTGATGGCAATTGATGGGACCAGTATTTAGTATATCTAGAACTCTCTAGTTCAGAATAGGGGTGCTGAATGCGGTGGGTTAATTTTAAAGGAATGATTTTTTTCTTTGATTTTGAGGATGAAAACAACGCGGGTCAGGCGACAATCCTTGTATAAGAGGCTTCGCCCAGATGCAAATTGGCTCGTGCTTCAATGATATTATCTCATTACTGATCATTATTAATACACATACACACAAAAAAATTCTTAAAATAAATATGGTTAAAATCTCAAAGGGAAAGTATTCTATTTTGTAACAACGGAGGGATTTTCTTACCATTTTTTTTTCATTGAAAAAAAGTAGTCATCTTTAAACCTATAACCTCTGTTCAGCCTTGTGTCTCATACTATTAAAGGGATGCAAAGTAATTGGATTCGCAGGAAGTGACGAAAAATGTGAATGGCTGAAGAAAGACCTAGGTTTTGATTATGTTTACAACTATAAAAAAGTTGACATTGATACAGCTCTCAACGAAGCTGCTCCAGAAAGAAGTGTAGATTGTTACTTTGATAACGTGAGTACAAATAAAATTGAGAATTATAAGTGTGTTCGATATTCTTCTCTGATATCACATTGATATTTTTAACAATTTTTTTTATTATAAAGGTTGGTGGTATGTTCACTGTTAAGGTTCTAAATCACATGAAGACATTTGGGAGAGTTTCAATCTGTGGATCCATATCTAATTATAACAACACTGAAGTTCCAACAGGTATGTTCTTTTAGAATAAAATAAAAATGTTCCTTCCATTTGAAGATAGATAATTCAATTTCAAGTTTTATTAAAATACAGTATTTCTGGAATGTCATAATTTTGCATCTTTATGTATTGTTTCACACAGGCCCATTACCGTTCATTGCCATCTTAAAATCTCAGTTGAAAGTGGAAGGATTCATAGTTCTACGCTGGTATCAAAGATGGCAGGAAGGTGAAAAAGCAATGTTGCAGTGGATAAAAGAGGTACATTAACACTGACCTGCTGATAACAGTGGACGGTTAGAGTATTTTTGCCATATACTGGGGAATCGCCAAATAATTATAGGATTGCAGTCTCTCAAAAATCGATACTTAAAACTTTGGATCTAGATTTATGCTTAATTTTTGTCAGGAAATAATTAATTTTATTAGGTTGTAATTTTACGATACAATTTTTTTACATTGGTTTTATTCTTATTTATTTATTTTTTAATTTTATTTTATTATCATTATTACTATCATTTTTCTTCATTTTTAGGGGAAAATGAAATATAAGGAGCACATCACGGAAGGCTTTGAAAAAATGCCAGAAGCTTTCATGGGTTTATTTGAGGGAAGCAATTTCGGCAAAGCTATTATCAAAGTTTGAATGTTTGAATACATTTTGAATGCATTTCAAGAACAGTGAAGGAGTTTTCATTAATGAAAATTGGACGAGACGCCATGGGGAATATTTAAAAAAGAACAAAATTCTTTTCACCTGATTTTGTAAATGAAAACTTTTTTACAGTACAAATTATTCATCTTTAAAAATGAGCTTTTAAGATTAAATACGGAATATAATAATTTGATTTTGATATAATACTTTGTGCTTTATTATTTACAAAATACATGTGTCAGGCATAAAAGGACTGTTTTCGTATTTTTTTACCATCTGCTATGTTAGTAAAACTCAAGCCTGATTTCAGCTAGTATACAAACTACTTTTGTTTTAATTCACGGAAGGTTTTTTTTTTTCAAGAATGTTCACCAAATCAAGCAATTCTCAACTATAGTAAGTCTAATAAAGAAGATATGCATTCAAATAAATACACATAACCATTTTTCTGGCTTTTCAGATTTCGATCATTCTCTCTTGTAAATAAAAATTAAAAAATGTATGTAAATATCCCTAATTGTGTAACCGGTCGACAGGGAATGCTTACTCCTCCTAGGCACCTAATCCCTCTCTGGAATTTGTGTTTTATGTCCTGTACACAGATTTGTATTGCTTAATTGTGGGGGTTTGGGATCGATCATTGTTCGTTATCTTTACTTTTGTCATTGTATGTTTTTGTGATATTTTACAATATTGCAGATTTATTTTGAAATTAACTTTGGGAACAATTTTCGTTTATTTCCCCAAGCATCAAAATTTCATGCTATACACGAGTAGATGGTAAAGAAAGATTTTATAAATATTTTTTATCGTAAGTTTTTGAATGAGCAAGAAAACGTTAATATGACAAAGAAGGTAAATCATGCTAGCCTTCAAATCTTTCATATCGCATGAATTCTCTTTTTAATCCATTCATATACGAACCATCCAGACTGTAAGAAATGTTTTGATTCCAGATAAGTTGGGATCACAAATGCATTACAGCTAATTTACATTTCTCTTTTTTTCGATGAGATTGGAAGACATCAGTTAAGAGTTTTTAATACTTAACTTTACATTGGCTAAGATGGGAAGGGGGATGTGGCAAGTATTTTATTATCAGAAAAGCGGTGTCGCATACCATGTTGCAGTGCTGTGGACCATATATATATATATATATATATATATATATATATATATATATATATATATATATATATATATATATATATATATATATATATATATATATATATATATATATATATATATATATTCCTAACACTGCAAATACATTGGTCCTGAGTTTGACTTTTGCAAATTTTAGATACGTTGGTTGATAAACCAGCCAATAATTTTGAATATCAAATTCTGTACTGTTCAGAAAATTACATCAAATGTCAATCGCTGTCTGAAATATATAACTTCCAATTTAAATGGTAAGACAAATAGAAACATTAACTGAAATCAATTTTCATAATTATACTTTTTTTGTTGCAGAAAAAGTATGCATATAAATTGACAAAAAAGATAACTTTTTGTAGATACGTGAAAACTACAAACTTGGTGTAAGAAAATATCAAGCCCCCAAGATTAAATATTAAGTGCTAATATTATGTGAAAAATTTATTTAACACTCACTTTGCCTTGTGAGCCTTTGTCCTCAAAAAATTGCTTTTCCATTGCTCTGTTGTGTCATTTGAAGGAATGTAACTACATGTACGTCTCTTAATTTTTTTTTATCCTAACTCTATAAAGTGGACAACTTGTTTAACGGGCGTTCTTTTTATTCCACGTGTGAAATACTCAATGATGCAGTGGATGCTGATTGAAAAATATCCGTGTTACAGACTTTATATATATTGTTCATATTTAATCAAGGATTATTAATACGAGCTGATTTGCTCATGTTTATTCTCTTCTAAAGACGCCTGAACAAAAGCATAGCATACCGTAAGTAAAACAGCTATTGGAATCGGGCCAAAATTTAAACTTTAGGATGAGTAATGTTTTTTACAGAATTTCAAAGAAATTTCAATTTCAGTAACCATGGCATCATAGTTTGTCGAAATCAAAAGCCAATATTCAAGTAGATTTTATTATGTTTATGGCTTAAAACCATGGCAACACCGCTCTTTATTATCATATATATATCTGATCGACCTCATCAAAGGGCTATATTTATATAATATAAAATTATAATCTGTGAAATTCTCATAAAGTTTTGGTCCGCTTTCAATAAGACTAGGCATACAAGTAGAGCATATAAATATACAGTCGCCAGCGTGGCAGTAGTTAGAGTTTGCAATTAATCCTTACGTCGCGGGTTCTGTGTCACGTGCCACAGTGTCACGTGGAGACCAATATAAATCGAGGTCCTATTTTGGCATACAAAAGATCCCTCACTGCTCAAAGGCAGTAAGTGCCGAGTATAAGCCTAAATTTCCAGCCCTTCAGTAGCAAGTGGTTGCGTCTGAAAATGACTGAACAATTCTTGAAAGGACGATAAACAGCAAATAAACAAATGTACAAAGATACATTTGTCTTCGTTATAAGTACATATCAATAGAGCTTCTGTTCCGTTCTGTTCCGCTTTCCGTTCCACGTTTTAGCAACACCCAAAGTTACGTGGCATGAACCTGCATAATTCTAGTGATCAAGAACTTTAAGCCAAGGGGGTCAACTACATCGGACAGGATGTTTCTTCCATTCGCCGAGGCTATATGGACGCTTAAACTTCTGTGTAACGTTAATGTTTTCTTTATGATCATATATTTTCATTAACATATAGAAATGTCTTTTTTGTTACTTCACTATTAAGAACTATCGGATTTCGTGATAATTTCCAGCCTTTTAAGTTGACAATCACATAATTATACATGTTTATAATTATTGAACAATTTTTTTTCCTTACGATCACTTATCACACACAGGGACATATGTATGTAAATCACGAGATCCTTATTATAACTATAGATATTACAGAGTTCAGCGGAAATTAAAATAAAAAATGCCTATTTTCGAATTGAAATTAATATGTTACCATTATCAGTTCTTTTTTTTCTTGTACTTTAGTCCAATTACTAAAAGAGTTATATCAATGTAAAAAGTATATTTTTCTGCTTTATTTTGAATAAGAATATAACATTCATATACTGCATTTTTTATTATCTTAATATTTTTCTTTTCAAATAAATTCAGTTATTTAGGTCTAAATGCTAAATACTCCAACATGGAAGTCTAACAAGTCCTATGGATTAATCTTCGAACTGTAACTTTGAAGCTTTGATTGCCATACATTAAACATGCAGATATTTTGATATTTCTTTTTGGGGGAAAATCAAGAAAAAAATTACATGTAGGCCTTGAGAAAAATAAACTCCCTGAAACTGGAAATAATTTTTTTAAACAAAATGTGACAGTTCCCGTACTTTGAACGTACAAGTTTACGGGGTTTTTTTCTTTAATGCAACAATTGGATCCTCGCTAAAAACTCTGCTTATACGAGGGGTGATCAAAAAGTTCGCGAACTAATTGAATAACTTCCTTAAAAGAAATGAAATGAGGTTTCAGTGTTTATTATTTTTTAAAGTGGTCCTCTCCGATTTTAATGCACATCTGCCATTGTTCTGCCCATGCGCGAATCACGTGATCAAGGTGGTCACGTGACATGCCCCGTAGTGGTCTGTTCACAGAAGCTTAAAATTTTTCCGAGTCTTATATTTCTTACCATGCAAGTTATTTTTTATAACAAGAACAGTCCATCAGTCAGAAATTGCCAAATCTCGGCAATAGGATAGGTGGATAAGGATATCCCTTCCCAGAATTAACATGGTGACCATCACAACCCGAGTCCTCTGTCTTGGGAGCGTCGTTTATCCAATGTAGATAAAGTATGGACGCCTCCTCTTTATCATATCTCATATGTTTAAAGTCTAAAGTAAACGATATTTTAGGGATTTAATAATTATATTATTGTTAAGATACTCAACTACATGTATTTTTCTAACCGTAACTTGGCGATGTTTCATAACAAATTACTCAACTACGGACACCTCTTTTCCCCGGCTTGCTTTCGCTGGGCAACAGAACAAACATTATTTTTAACCATCTCCCAGACTTCACTAAAATAATCAATCTAATTAATGATTGGACTTCTGGAAAGTCTATTGTCTTCATAAACCTTTTACAAATTATCATATTCTACTGCAAAGAATTTCCAAGATATAACGTTAAACTTTACAGCCCTTCGTTTCTCGAGTACGTCTGAGTCAACCATTTTTTGTCACAAGTGACCTATATATTGACGTCATTTTCACTTTGTGACGTCACAAACACGGAGCAAAACATTATTTAACATCCGTTATTTATAGAACATGTGTATGACTATATGTGTGCCAAATTTCATTCTGATCTGAATTGTGGTTTTGTAAATATTGAGATAGTTCGCGAACTTTTTGATCACCCCACGTACGGTACGAGGGGTGATCAAATAGTTCGCTAACTATCTCTATATTTACAAAACTGAGATGAGAATTCAGATGAGAATGAAATTTGGTACACGTATAGTAATAAATATGGTCTATAAATAGCAGATGTTAAGTGCTCCATGTTTATGAAGTCACAATGTGAAAATGACGTCAACATGTAGATGACTTGTGACAAAAAATGGTTGACTCTGTCGTACTCGAGCAAGGAACGGCTGTAAAGTTTAACCTATATCTTGAAAATTTCTTTACAATAACATATAATAATTTGTACAAAGTTAATGAAGACAAAGTGTTTGCTAAAACTTCAATCATTAATTGAATTGATTGCTTTTGTGAAGGAAGGAAGATAGTTAAAAGTGTTCGTTCTGGTGCCCAGTAAAAGTAAGCTGGGAAAGAGATGTGTCTTTGGTTGAACAATTTGTCATGAAAGATCGCCAAGTTTCAGTAACTGTTAGAAAAATAGTTGAATATTTTGACAATCAAATGATCATTACATCCCTGAAATATCCTTTCCTTTAGACTTTAAACATATCAGATATGATATAGAGAAGGCGCCCATACTAAATCCACATTGGATAAATGACCCACACAAGACAGAGGAGTCGAGTTGTGATGGTCACCATGCTCATTCTGGGAAAGGATAATTATCCTTATCCACTGATTTGGCCATTTGTCACAAATGGACTTTTCCTGTTATAAAAATAACCTGCATGGTAAGAAATATAAGACTAGGAAAAATCTTTAAGCTTCTGTGAACAGAACGTTACGGAGCACGTCGCCTGACTGCCTAGATCACGTGATTTGCGCAAGGGCAGAACTCTGGCAGATGTGCAGTTAAATCGGAGGGGACTACTTTAAAAAATAATAAACATTGAAACCTAATTTTGCTTCTTTTATGGAAGAAATTCAATTAGTTAGCGAACTTTTTTTGATCACCCCTCGTATATTTACCACAGTATTCTCTCATGAATCAGCCAATCTGACTTTTCAAAGAACACTCTCTAATGACTGCAAATGTGTATTAATTGATTTT